GTCAACTCTTACAAACTTATAATAGCTGCAAACAACAAAACAACAAAAGTCTTAACTGTGTTTAACTGAGCTCTTCGTCATGTTGCAAAGATTATTTTGTTTCATAGAAATCTGAGTGCTGGTGGGAGGTGTTTCTAATGGCCACATGAAACTGTGTGCTTGCCGGTTAGTATAAGGCTGTTCGACAAGATGGGCCTGTTGTCCAAAACAGACTGTCTGAATTTGGCTGAAGATTAAATGACCTATTGAATTTAAGAATTCTTCACAATTTTTCTGAGCTGGTTTAACTGATGATTCTAATATGCAACTAGACTATATTTTAATTAATACTATTAGACTAAAATTGAAATCTCTGATTTTAGTGATAGTTGAATCTATTCTTTCTCCCGTTTTTGCTTGTTTATTAATTTGTAAGAACTTCGTAGAGGACTAGAGTTGGAACTGTGTATACATATGTAAACACAATAATTAAGGATCCTGTTACCTCATTAATTTAAAAATGAAATGATGAGCATGTTAAGAATTAAATCTTTCAGTGAGGACTGCACAGGAATTTATGTTATGAACCAAAATGGTTTGTTCTTTTGCGTAAAAGGCATCTGATTAAGGTCAGCCTATGAGCAGAAATGGTTCCAATCTGCAACTGAAAAACTGCACCACTGTCTGCACTAGAGATTAGCGCTGGCTTGTTTTTATGCACATTTGGTCAACAGATGGTCCAACTATTCTGTGGGCATTCTGGCAATGTAGAACTCTGCACATCAATGACAAAAAACCATCATATGAATAAGTAAAATGTCAGCATTCATCTGAGTAGAATGAATAGCCAGTGTCAGCGTCTTAAAAAGTAGCGTAGCTGGCTGACTTGAAAGGAGAAAACCTAGCAAAACATCATATTATTGATGAATTAGCCAATGCCATTCATTCTGATAATACTGAAAGAACAGAAGACTATGACGCTTATAAAAAAGAAAATGTTATTGGCCTTTGGCCAGAGCAGTTAGCTAATATTTGCTGTCTTGCTGTATTGTACCTTAGAAATAATAATAAAAAAAAATCTGATATGCTGTGAGTAATTCTTCTGCTCAATTGCATTTGCAAAGAATGGTTCACAAAAGTCATGTTTCCCTAAACACAGTAGAAATAAACAACAGCAGGCAGTTTCTGGTCTGATATGCCTAGGAATACTGGCTGTTTTTTCAAGGTCACAGTTTTAATATACAGCGTATCTGGCAATATGGCTTAAGGTATTCCTCTCTCTCTCTCTCTCCTGCCCTCACGTCACCGACACACCTCTGCCACAGCAGTTTTCCCTTCTCCAGCCCCTATTCCAGATGGGCTGTTTTTTCAACTATGTCAAGGGATTGAGGCTGCTAAAAGGAAAAGAACAGAAAACATGAAAGGGAGAGTGAGAAAAACTGTGGCATCTGCACAGCTGAAGAAGCAGCAGTATAGGGGTGAGAATTTGGGTGAGAAGATTGGGAGCCGGGAGAAGCATGAGGACCTCTGGCTGGAATTGGCACTTAGCACTTTTTGTTGTGAAACCCAGTGTCTTTGTTGTTGTGTCCCATCACTGCTTCTCTGGCTTTTGATCCCTTTCCTCCTCTTACCCATACTCACAGAGCTGAAAGCAGCTGTAGTCCCAGACCCCTTATTTGTGGTCAGCCTTGGTGACATCCCCTAAAACCATGGGGTTTAATTTCTGATCCACCTTGAGTGGGACCAGTTTTGCATAGGTGGTTTAAGTTATTCCCAGTGGTCCTATTGTGTGAAGGAGCAGAACTCTTTATTCTGTTCAGCCTCCATTTGGGATGGTTAGCATTAGTTTTAACAGGTTTGATGAGTGTGTGTAGATCAAAGACAACTTTTGGTGGTATCTATTAACACCTTCTAAAATGGAAGTGCAAACCTTCCTTCTTTCGCTGATGGAACTGAAGTTGATTACGTTTTCATGAGATGGCAGTACCAGATTGTAGCCTACACTTGCTTTTTACATCCCTTTGAAAGGGCCGAGAAGGGTGAATGTGTTCAGCAGCTGTGCCTCTATAAACAAATGTACTGGCACACACTGCTGCACCTATAACAGAGAGAGTAAATACTGGTAATGTATTTGACAGTCTGTCCAAATTGCATAAACCTGACAATTGGCTAGAAATACAGCAGGTCGGGGTTTTTTAATCTGATTTTGTTCCTAAATGACAGTAATTTTATCACGGTGTTTGGTTACATTGTTGACAAGGTGATGTCTTTTGCACACATTTGTGTTTAATTTTTGTAACTGAGCTCCAGTAGGATTTTAACAATACAACTAATTACTGTGCATATTCAAAAGATAAAAGAGTGCCCTTAATGTGTTATTCATAACATGGAGTATGAGAACATTATAAGACCAGGATTGTCTTTAAATATTAATTTCATGGTAGCCATGGATGCATTAGGCTCTTGCAAAGAACAAAAACACTGAATGCAACTCTTAATTTTTTTTCCCACTCAGTTGACTTTTATAAATATTTTCATTCTCTAGAATGGAGGAGACAGTGAGAAATCTGCTACAGAGCCAAGGATCCACAGGCCAGCATGGAGAAGGAACTGTCAATATCATGAAGGTATATCAGGTATTAGTGGCTTTTTACCTGTTTTCTGGTGATAGAAAAGTTCTTTAAGACAAAAATTGCACTACTGAGGGTGAATGTGTCTGACATTGTTTCCTCTATTTGTTTATTAGTTATGAATACTTGGAAGTGGTGGTTGGTACCATCTATGCTTTCCCAGGTGTTCTCTCACCAGAGTTTAAGGTTTTTCATTTTATCGTCATTGTGTTATCCACAGTTGTTGCTCCTCACAGTTAACAGGGGACAGAGAAACTGGTTTTGAAGACTTTATTAAAGCACTTAATATTTTAAGTAATATATTCTAGCATCTCTAGGAAACGTAGATGCTTTTGACAGCTTGACCTTCAGATTGTGATGGATAATTTTATCCACTCATTCTTATTGGGTGTGAGGCTTCCACATCAAGCTCCATAGTTTCTTACCACTCCTTGTGGCAGGTGCGTTTTATCAGCCTCACTTGGGGTAGAGAGAGTCTCAGGACAGAATTTAGGGGAGCAAAGATTTTAGAGGTTTTTCAAAGGGAACCAGGTCTGTTTATGCTCTTTATCAGAAAGGAGAGTTTTATATTTTCCTGATGTGCTGCTGTATTCTGGAAGCAGTGAACCTGAGGTGGTGGAAAGCCTTTTTAAGTGTCTGGAAACAGGAATGAGATATATCCCAATTAATGAGATATTCTGCACATGAATTCTTAAAAAAAACACTTAATGAAGTCAGTCCTATCTTGTATCTTTTTAAACAGAATAAGCATTCCTTATAAAGACATAAAATGCTGAAATAATATATTAAAGTCTATACTACATAGCGATCCTTCAGATAAAACACTTTTTAAAAGTTCTACTTATATTAGTCCATTCTTACAACTGGTGGATCAAAAATATGGCAATATAGCTAAACAAAAATGTATATTAAAGAGTATTTATCACTGTAATTAAATTTTCATTTTAAGCTTGGATTGAAGGGAAAAGAATATTTTAGATTAACCTTCCAAAATATTCAATTTTTCTTGTTAAAATAATAACCTGTAAAATTTAATTTCAGGACAAATAAAACTTTTTGTTGAAGTTATAATAGAACGTTGTGCTTTTAGAAACTGGTGATAAAAGCATCTATATTTTACTCACTACCCTTTGGGGGATCCAAAAATGAAACTCGTTTCCCTCCTCTTGGTTCAGAGTTTAAATTCGTACTTCCTGCTCACTCCTGCCACGTACAGTGGGTGTTCTGCAGTGGGCTTGGTGTCAGTCTCTCCTTTGGGTGGATTGCTTGTCTGTCTGTTTATAGCAGACAGCTAGAATGGTTTTACTGCCCGCTTTTCTGTATGCTGTCTTACCGTGGAAACCACAGTAAGGTGGTACAATAATTAGGTTTTAGCTTCTTTGGGTGTTGTTTTTGCACTCTCAACAAGAAAAGCAAAAAAGTAATTCAGTTTCTTTCCATCAAACTGAGGGTTTGGATGTTCTTATTTTTCTTTTGGGCACTAAACTGGAAAAAAATTAGCTATGTGGTCTTTTGAAATTTGAAATTTTGTGTACTGCTTTCCGAGAGGGGAGATAAACTAGTCATTCCAATTTTGGTGCTTGTAAATTGCTGTGTATTTTTTCCTCCATCTTTTATTTGTTTCTTAATTTTTGAAAAAAGAGAGAATTTCATTATGGTTTTGGGTTTTTCTCCTTTGGGGCCATACTAACATAGGCATTTCTTGTTTCCTGCCAGCCAAGAAAATGGGTACTGTGGTGTGTTTTGTGTAAAATCTCTTCAGTTTATTTTCTGACCAACAAAAGAAAAGGCAGTTCTGCCCAGTTAATGATAACAATTCTTTTTCTTCCTTCAGCTCTACTGAACAGCCCCTTCCACCTAGCAAACTGCTGTCTAAGCCCTTTTTCCCCCTTCTTTCTGGACATGGGGTTTTGTTTGAATCTGCTAGGTGGTAGTCAGGGCAGATTCCCCAGACCTGAGCCTACTCTCTTATAGAGTGAAGCCATCTCTGTCCCAGGGCCTTAAAGCACCCATATACCTGTTACTCTAGGATTATTTTAAATCTTGTGTTCTGCATTGCATAGCAGCTTCCTTTTCTTCCTGTTCTCTTCTTGGTCTTGGGAACGTTTTCACTCATGATAGCAAAGTCATGTTGTTTTTTAGCAATTTTCATTTCTTCCATATTGCCAGTATGCAATTTTCTTTGCTTATGAATTTCTTTTCCTACTTCATGAAGCAATGGTTTTTCTTTTCCTAGAGGAATAGCTAGGCTACTGCATCATATACCAGTCTGTGATTGGTTAAGCAGGTCAAAAATACAGAACATTTCCATGAACGTTGTGTTTTTTCTGAATGTCTCTGACTCATTTGTCCTCACATTCCTTTTGTTCACTTTTATGACAAACTTCTGAACAAATACTTTGTTTTCTGGGAATTTCAAGCAATGACTCTATTCACATGCAAAGCAGCGCATATGCCATCCTATGGCTACCTGCTGTGTAGGTCAGAGGTGTGTTCACTTGATGTGTGCTTGTTATTCAGTCACACAGTAAAAACTATGCAGTGTGGTTTAGACAGCAACAGCATGTAATAATAAAAGCTAATACCTGAAAGGCTCTTCAGAACAAATAGTTGGCAAAGAATCTGTGATCTGAAGTGATTACGAAGTATTTTAACATTGAAAAAACATATTAATAAAGCATTATATGAATCATTAATATGTTATTGAAACCAACTGTGTGGAAATCATGGACAAACATACCATCTAAATATATGATCAATTTTATGGCAAATACTGTGTCCAGGTTTGGCAAGAGGCATCAATACTGCAATTGAAGCATTTCATTTGTATCTTTCCAAAAGTAATCAGGCATTTTTTGGATATATTTATAAGGGTGATTCACAAATGAGAATAGAACTTGAATGTACAACCTAGGTAATGTTTCTTAAAAACATTGGTGTATTCAGTTTTTTGGGAACTTGATAACCATATCATTATCCTGTATTTGTAAATCAAGTATAGATGTGAGCTAACACATGAAAAAAATATTTTTATGAACTGAATTCCAAGTGATATATGTATCTCTCTCTTCATATACATACACAAAACTTACTGAACGTATAAATATGATTCTGTGATTGTTTTGAAAGCCATCCTGTACAATCAAACAGTTACCTTATAGAACATATTCTGAAGCATACCTGTTCTCTGTGATTACTATGTTAGGATCAGAACAATATGATCAGTATTCAGTGCAAAAGAGTATCAGATTTTTCTGCAGTTTCACAACCATGTAGTTCATAACAAATGAGGACATTACTTAGGTGATCTCCAGTGTGACTTGTAAACATGTGTCTCATATTCTTTGACACCATGGTAAGCTAGTTTTCTTGTGTGTAACCTGTTCAAATTAATATCTGAATAGTCGTAAAAGATACTTCTGTGCAATAAACGTTTTTGATGTATTGGCCATTGTCTACGTATTTGGTTTTTTACAAATCTAATTATTGTTCTGGGATGTACGAAATTGAGTTCTTATTATAATATCAATATGCCTGACTCCAGAATAAATATTGTTGCTAATGAACATTAAATGTTGCATAGTGATCATGTTAGAAGAATAATAATAAGATGGAGCCCAGAGTGTGCAGTATTATTGCAATATTGTCTTAGGTCTTGCCGGGATTCTTACTTGAAGCAAAATTTTCTAACCCTTTCCATAGAGCTAGATGCCCTATGGGAATTTAATTTGCTGGCATTACAGATAGATGATGTGATTTCTTTAGGATAATTTAGAAAATTCTCATTTGTAATCATTTTACATACTAATAACTGAGAGAAGATTTATAATGAATGCTCACATAAATGTAGACAAGAATATGTGTGATTTGAATTGCTGTGAACCATCATGTTTCTTGCTTAAAAGTTTACTTGACTAAAAGGCTCTAGTATGTAAGAGCTTTATGATGTTTCCGAGAGGCATTGTCCACCTAAAAGTAAGATCATGAAAGGCCAAACCAACACTTCATATATTAATATTATTCTCATTCAAGACACAAGTACTTTGTCTAAGAGGGAGACTGATCCTCAGAAATAATTGTATGCAGTACTTAAACCCAAGACATTAAAACAAGCACCCTGTAGACTTTCCTTCCAAAGTTTGTCCTTGTGATTTGGATATCAAAAAACTAGAGTGTCTTTCCTGTTTGGTCACAATACTGGATATCTAGGTAGAGTCTTACCTAATTACAGATCACTCAAAAGACTTTCAAAGTTTTTTTTAACTCCTTTTAACTTTATGTCAGTGTACAGTGATTGAAATAGATGAGGAAGAGAGATTGCTGTAAGTTTACAATTTGTTATAATTCTGGAATTGTCAATATGTGCACTAAAGCTCAGGACAGACATGGTGCAGTCACATTGCAGAGGAAGGACAATCTGCTGTTCAAAGCACTGTCTTTGGGAGACTAGATTTTGATTCTTCCGTTTGCTCTAGATTTCTCCATCTCCTTGGACAAATTCACTTTATCTGTCCATCCTTAACCTTTGTCTGTAAAAAGAGGAAAATGACGTATCATTTAATCTTAAATATATTTAAGATGTCATCATATAGACAAACTACTGCTTCTATGGTAACAGGAACTGTAATAAGTACTGAGCCAGATAATGAAGAGATTTTTTAAAAAAAAAAGCTGTTCGTATTTCCTTGTAAACTTGGAAAAAGGCTTACTTCACCTAAGGAGTTTGTTTAACATATGAATGCTTTTAATAGAAAAAGAATCAATTTCAAAATGAAACTTGAATGGTCTTCAAGCAGGGCTATCCTGTATTGTATTAAAAAATATGGAAGTGGGTTTTTGCTGTTGGGAATTTGGGGATTTTGATACATGAATTCATGTGAAAAACCTAGGGAAATAAAAACTTGTGACTGCAGGGGTTGTAGTCTTTTCAGAACCCCACTGCACTTCTTTGAGATTTGTACTCCAGACAAATAGGGCTGTGGTGACCAGACACGTTCTTTTGGTCA